TTGAATATATTATTCAGTTTTGATACAATATAGTACTCAGACTGTGGATTAATAAACATTCTCAAACTCATTAATAATTCATGACATTATAAGCCAACCAGAGCGCCCAATTCGAGTCAGGTGGATGACTTTGAAACTCAATGAAACATCAGTTGAAAATCACTAGTGTTTTATCACGTTTTTACCCCTAGTGTTTCATCACGTTTTCATCACTAGTGATAAAATTGTTCTTAATCTGCATAACATCAGTTGAAAATCACTAGTGTTTTATCACGTTTTTACCCCTAGTGTTTCATCACGTTTTCATCACTAGTGATAAAATTGTTCTTAATCTGCATAATTATTCATAGATTACTTAAACACAGAATAACATAAATCGTTAATTTTAAATTAAACAATGGCCAGGAAAGACATTTCAAATTACAAACTGACAAGCTCAAGTCATTTGAAATTAAAGTTTACAGTACATTTCTTTCTTCGTTTTCAAACCAACGCCAGCTCGAGTCCCCTCCTTCATTTCTGCGTCCAATATTCGTCTAAAGATAGCAAATCTAATGAGGAAAAGAGAAAAGTTTGATGCAATTTCCTTAAGAGCGGCTTTCCGTAAATGTCGACCCACGGTCGGCACAAGTTCAAAATTTGATTTCGCTCATTTTTAGCTCATGGATAACCCTTAATGAGTAATGAAACATGCTGTCGTTAGTTTTCCCAAATAACGTGTTCTTTTGTTTAAGTTCGAGAAAACTCATTTTGCCCGTTCGGAGCTCAAAACCACTTCCGGTAAAGCGAAATTTTACATAAGTTTCATTGACTCGTACGTCAAACCAATGATTGGCAACCTTTGAAGAACACGAATAGTTTCTATGACCCTTTCTTTCTTACAAGAAGATAAATTTGTGAAAGCTGTAATAATTTTGTGGCCAAAAAGGTATTGTTAAAAATAGGCCCTATTGACAATTCCTACCGTTCAAAATTACAGGGATAAAATAATGCAAATTTTTACAATGGGCCATAACTTAAAATTTCGCAAATTGACTCTTTATGGCTTGACTATGCCCCAATCTGAAGGCCATTAACACACACCAATCATTCAATAAGCTTCGAGAATTTCACACAGTCCAAGTGTCACGTTGATGTCTCACAAAGAAAATATAGGATGGAGCATGAAGTATAAAGTTTAGACGTGTACTCCACCCAGCCAATGAAATTTTAGAATTCCCTATAGCTTGCAACGTATTAATATCAATAATGAATAAAACCAAAAGAATAAAGAGAGAAAGGTTTTCTTTCCCGGTGGTGTGAAGCATGATTGAATTTTTTACTTTTTTGTGATTCGCACATTTTCAGTTACAAGAATTTACGAGAATATGGATGAAAACGTGATCCCTGAATCGCGTGCTGAATTTAGCGCGATTCGTGGATTCACTTTTGACTTCTTACGGCCCTTTATTCTATCCTCTCGCAGACCCGCCATGTTTTCCAGTGTTTCTATTAACCTAGATATCGACGCAATTTTTGTTTCGTGAATCATGTGTTGATTCAGTCAATTATAAGCATAATTCTTATTTTTTTCCTTTATTTTTCGTTATTTTTATTACATTTTCAGTCTTTGCTCGCGTCGACCATGTTTCCTTACACTCCTCAAATTAGCGAAAACGAATTAAGAGCGTCCTCAGTAAGTTCCTCAATCCCGTAGTCCCGCCCAAGAAATAGTGCAATATCGTAATCCCGCGGGTTATCTTTGGCATTCCATCTCCCGCGCATACTTTCAATCTCGAATCTCGCCACGATTTTGCTTTGAAATCCCGTATCCCGAGCTCCAGATAAGGAAATCCCGGATCCCCAAAAACCTATTGGGAACTCCCAATTATAAAGATTGAAATCAAATGTCCTTAATTGTCGCGGGAAAGTGATAGGACCTATGGATGTAATTACTCCTGCTGCGGACGCGATAATAATCATCAGGCGCCTGTTCAGCTGAAATTGGTATAATCGAAAAATAATTTATTCATGACAAAGAACAAAAACATCAGTAATTTGTATGAGCTCCCACCGCTAGCTACCGGAGAAAACAGAACACTAACTACCTCAGTGGTGTTGATGGCGTTATCGACATTCAATAAAGTGACATCTAGTTCCTCTGATTATTTGTTTTTTTCCAAAGGCAAACCAAAAAGTGTGTCTTGTTATAAATTCTTCTTTATTGGCTTGATTTGGCAGCAACTTGTTTTGTAAAAAGAAACTTAAATAAAATGCTTCAGTCACTGATATAAGACAGCATTTGGACCCGATAACTTTCCGAGTTTTGCGCTGGCTCTCTTCTACTCTCGAGAAATAATAATCTATGACTGCAATTATGTAGGTTGAATTATACCCGTCTGATATATAGATAAGACGTCTGACGTGTGTACTTAAGAGTCTATATTTAAACGACACAATCTCAAAGAGATATTGGTTTTTATCAAAAGAAATTAAAAGCACCTACCTTAATTTCCATGGAAATAACAAACGAGGGTGATAATCATCTTACTTGGCGTTCTTTAATCATATCGCGTAAGGCGATTAGTAACCATGTCATAAAACACAAAGGATAATTGAAACTATACTTCATGCGTCTCAGAGCAGATGTTACTCAGGATATAATGCAAAATTGTCAGGCCAATAAAAATTGAGCAAGCTGCTAGTATACTCAAGAATCTCCTCTGGTGTTACACTCAAGTGTTAAGGTGGTCAATAAAAACTCCTGCGCCGGGGCCATGGAAGTTGAAGAAGCATCGTCTATAACCAAACTGCGTACAGTGAAGAGATAGTTCAAGCCATGGAAAACTCAACATTCATGACTCCAAGGACCAATTTGTATGAGACATATTGGTGGCTGGCGCCGAAATATTTCAAACAACTTGCGTCGAGACCCACGTATCTCATCGCTATTGAATCTGGAATAATGCTTCTTATAACCATCACAGCATTTGTTGGAAACTTTCTGATCTGTTTTGCTCTGCTGCGAAATCCAAGACTCCGTACTGCTACAAACTTATTGATTCTTGTATTAGCAGTCACCGATTTGCTATCGGCTTGCCTTACGCAGACTGTAGCGACAATAGTTCTGATGAAAGGAAAATGGATCGCTGATGTCAATCCTCTTGATGTTCGAAGCTTTCCTTGTTTGTTGCAAGGTGTAATGTCTCCTGCTCTAATCGGCTTGTCGATGCACATTATGGCTTTAACGGCCGTTAATCGCTACATCTGCGTAGTACATCAAAGGCTGTACAACAAGATCTTCAGTAAGAAATCAACTTTTGTCATGGTGGCAGCCGAAGGGATGATCATACTTAGCCTCGTGTCTATCTCTTGTCCCGCGGGATTCGCGAGGATCACGTTAGACCCGAGACGCGCAATGTGCTTTACGACCTTCAAGCAACTAAAAACATCCCAGATGGTCTCGCACGTGTTTTTGGTTTTTACGGTTGCAATTCCATTGATTATAATAAGCCTGTCATATTTTCGAGTTTTCAGAGCAATAAAAAGTAGTTATTTCCAAGGGCAAGCCGAGAACACTTCCTCCAAAACATCCGCAACAAATGCCCCACAGCCTATTTCTGGAGCAACGAGAATAAAAGAAGTGAAAATAACTAAGACAGTTTTTGCTGTCCTGCTTGGATTCTTAACCTGCTGGATTCCAGCCATGATGTGTAACTACCTGAGTTATAACATGGTAGACCCTCGTTTTCCTCGCCAGGGAGAATTGGTTTTCACTTATTTTCTGTGTCTGAGTTCTTCCATTAATCCATTTATATACGGAGCCACAAACCGCGCTCTCAGGAAAGAATTTCTGAGTTCTCTGTCTTGTCGAAAAATTCGCAAGCGAACTGTTGTGGTACCAGAAGCTTCATAACTAATTAATACCGAGATTATCAATTGCTGTGTTGGGGGATGACCCAATAGACGGGTCGATGAGGATTCGTGCTGATACTTTTTAAACAATCTTTATCATAGTAACGCTTTGAACAACATCAATCTTTATTGAAATATTCGTAGATTTCTAAATATTTTAATGTAGTGACTCGCAAAACATTAATAATAACAACGATATAGACTGTGATTTCTAGAGTTCCATTTACTCCGACTATTCCTAAACGAAATCGCCTTTAAGACTGTTTCATTAAATCTTCAGGCATTAAATCATGGCAGAGGGCATCGTCTGAAAACATCCGGTAATAATGAAATCTTTGGTTAATTTTAAGGTATTTACAGTTGAACCCTGTCAATTCGACCACCGTCCTGGTCATAATAACAAGGTGGTTGCATTAATGTGGTCTTCAAAATAGTAGAATAACTCGGTGAAACAATATGGTTGTAATAACGAGGTGGTCGTAAGACGGGATTACACTATACTAACGACCTATTTAATGGATAACTTCCAGTATTTTTGAGTCTTTTAAAGAAATTCATGTGAGGTCCAGGTCTTTCGTTTCACTAAAGGTATCGTTGGATGAACAAATTCAGCAAAGATTGTGTATCGGCCTCTTCTGGAAACTTTTTTGGTGCAGACAGGCTATGATCATAGAGTCTAGTAATCTCGTACCCAGATCTCCCTCGTAAAACACAGTGAGATCTGGGTACGAGATTAAGAGTCTAGTATATTAATGACAATAAGCCCATGTTAACTTTGGTGATATTATCTACGTCTCTTCAATTTTTTTCGCCAGATTATCCAGCCGGCGCTTCCCTCAAGCTGCTACCCCTCTCAAATAGCTGCTATATGCATTATATTAGGCAATGCGGCTTTTAAACACCTTAGTGTCGAGTTTTTATACCTGACTGTATATCTATTGACACTGGCGAGCTACAAACTTCCTCTGATCATAACCCTGTAAATCTAGGATAAGATAAATGTGCTTTGGGTAAGTTTTTGACTAGCTGTTATCAATGGAGGTCCCTCCTCCTTTCCTGACGCACGCAAGCGAGTCTCTGCGCATGTCGTAACTGTCGTTCTTGTTGTTGTTTGTTGGCAGTATTATCGCGGGAACAACAGTAGTATTTCTTTTACTCCCCCAACGTCGTAGTTTTCTTTTTACGGTGACCCGGAACTCACTGCTTCGTACCACATGAAGAAGAAATATAAAAAATCCCTGCAAAAATAAATAGAGGAGGCGTCAAAAGTTCTTTGCCTGTATTTGTATATTGTAGAGCGTTCCAGCCTGTTACGGATTACCGTACATCTAAGATCTGATGAGGTATTAAAGTATATAGCAGAAACTGGCTTCAAAGACTAACTCAAATCAAGTAAATACTGCAATGTAAGCGATTGAGAAAACAGCGCTAGCAGGCTGAAAAAACGGTCCGTCTCTATACGTGATTGCTGTTTTGCTTTTGAGGGCTATAAACCTCGTTCTCCCTTTTTTCAACTTTGTAGCGTAAAGGTTTGTGTTTATATGAGCTATCTGTTTAAATTACGCTCACATTCTGAAAAGAAAAAGATATCAACTATTTCCTTAACAAAGATACTTTTGTATCAAGGCAGATATATGAAATTGCATATATTTGAACTGTGGACAAAAAGATATAATGCTTGGAAGATTATTGATGTTATAAACTGTGGATACTTAAAATTCCCATTTCGCGTATTGTCATTCCACGTGTTAAGGATTTTGTACAGTGTTTTTGTTTATCTATCCTTGCTGTAGGCTCGTAATATCCCTTAACGAGAAATTTACAAGTTTGAAACATAAAACCAAGCGAGTTCTTGACATTATGGTTTGTAAGGGTAACTCAACATACTAAACTGTGAATATACTATTTTTTCAAGGTAAGCATGCAAATCCTACACCTTTTCACACGAAACTTGTAATTAATACAACCCTAATATAGATTTAGACAAGGCCAAAAGCCAAAAATTACCTGTAGAGAATTGCATATGGTAAAGAGGTACTGGAACACCATTCCAGTTAGGTCTGTCACACTCAGAACACCAAACACCCATGTGACACCCAATAACGGAAAAAGTACGACGCAAGCCCGCAACACTCGCCTGAAAAAGGGAATAAGCATGTCAAGCAAGAGTAGATGTAGAGTGAATGTCAATAAAAGGTAAAAGGTGTTTTGACTATCTAGTATAATTGAGTAAAAAACAGTCTGCTCGTAGTTTAGTAGAAACGCAACAACCTGATTGAAATCCTAGCTTGAAAATAAATGCACCGAAACTTTCGCATTTCAACCCCATTTAGGGACCGGTCATTATTTATCGCCTTGGGGGGTGGGGGGGATGCAGGGGACTTTTTTTGCGACAATGGAGCCCTTACGTGATCCTCCCATAAAGCATACAGTGTGGTTTTGACCCCCCCCCCCCTGCCCCACGTTTGTTTTTTAAACAGTATAAACTATTAATGTCGTTGAATTGTGTACTATATAATCGCTGTACATTGCGGATATATTAGATTGAAATGTTATATAGTCAAAATGTGAAGCTGGGATATGGTACAGTGTTTCAGTAATATTACTTACTTAAATTTGTTGCTCTCCGAACTGACATTAGTAGGGTGCATAGTAAACAATTCTCTCGTGACTCGTGCAAGAACAAAGACATTTGACTGTAAATGAAAGAAAAAACAAGTTTTAAGTGCAGCTAAAATCTGGCTCCTATTCTTGGTTTGCAAGCACGTGACAAGGCGGCCATGTTGGGGGTCAAAGCAATAGAATTTTTTCTCGAAGAATTTACTTGAAAATGGAGTTATGTTTCCAGAGGAGAGGAATGCTTTTGTTCTTGACTACCAGCATGGCTTCCGTGACGTGACGTGCAAACCAGCAATATAAACCAAGAGAGTATCAAGAGAGAATGCTCATTCTCTCTTGTATAAACTCAAGGAAGGTCAGGCTTGTTCCAATATTTCCCAGTCCCCAGGCCCCAGTATAAGGCGCGGCCTATACGTTACGGGTCACGTGCTCAAGCGAGTTCCTGGCCCTAAGTCCAAATATATCAAACTTATTTTGCGCTCCTGGCTAGATATGCTTATTTTCGGTGACCACGCTTTTTATCACTTTATAACGTCAGTGTCTGAATAAGTCCTTTGGCCCTTGTTTTCCCCTTTAACTCAACAAAAGAGAACGGCGCAAAGCATCGCGTACGCTGAATTATATTCAAACTTACTATGGATATTATGAGAACTGGAGCAACGAAAAACCAAACGAATCCATTGGAAAAGGACAACCAGCAACTGCAGAAAAAGGAATCACATGTGACGCACTAGAGGCTAATGCACTAAATGATATTCCTGTATCATTGTCATCATTAAGTTTCTCAACCTGAGAACGAGGTCATGTGACATATTATTATGGGTGGCTCCGCGAGCGGGAAAGATCATAAAATTTTCTGTTCTGATTGGCTAATTGAGTAGGTAAGCTGGGCCTTTCTTGCCCAGGAACTCGACTTAACAGTATTCTATAAGCCGCACTTGCTTATTCCAAGTCGAGACAATTTTAACGTCTGGCTTAAACCTGGGTAAACCACCTAGATTGAGTGGTACCAGCTACTGACGTTAAATTTCAGCTGGCATTAAGAAGAAGAAAAAACTTACAAGCTGTCAGCAACATAACTGGCGATGCCTCCTTCAGTGGCGGCTGCCGTTAAGAGGGAGATTGATACCAGGGCCAATGGGAAGCCTAAGGAAAAAAATCATTTGTTATCTTTCGTCTGATTACCTACGTACGTGGTTCTGCGCGGTTGAAAAGACAAAGGGCTCCAGGAAAGGGAAAAACATTTAAAACATATAATTCCGTGTTTGGTATGACAAACTGACTTTTTTCTGCCTTTGGTTATTAGTTGTTACCTCCAGTTTGTTAAACGGAACGTTTAATTAACTAAAAGTAAAATTAGAATAAATAAAAAGCAGACAATCTTTGCTATGCATGCGAAAATAATAATTAAAAAAACGAGGTAATTCTTTAGTAATATTGGTTACTTAAAAAGCAATATTTTTCGAGAACGTGAAATAATGACTGAAAAATTACAAGTTCTCCAATGTAAAGAAGTAAGACTAATAGTAACTTCCTGAATGAATTAGCCTTTTTACTCTCTCAAATAACTTCTCGCATTACAATCAAACAATGAAAGAACGTGTTCGAGCGTCAAACGTTTGCCGATATATTGTGCACTGAGGACTTTAAAAAAAAAAATTCAATCCATGAGTGACCATTGTCATTACAATCGGTCTTTCCGACTGCCACCATGGCAACCTGGCTTGTATATAGCTGAGTGATTACTTAATTTATCTCCAGGCCTGATTTATCTCAGAGCATGTGGACTTTGACGTTGGTTAGACTAAACTTACCCCAGGAAAATGCACAGAAAGGCCACATTTTGAAGTCGGTGTCAAATACTTTGACCACCTTATAGTACAGCGTCAAGCCCTCAATCAGCATCCAACAAAAAGACACTAGAAAGAAATAATGTATGGCCGCGGCTATTGTTGTGCATATGGCCTGAAAAAAGAACATCAAGAAGGGTTAGAAATGAAAATCATTTTTTTTCTTATTTCAGTGATCAAAAATTTCATTTATGGTTACATGAAAAGAAGGCAAAACTTTTAATTCTGTGAATCACGACAAAACAGAATTTTAGAGATTTTCTTAAGTATTGTATTCAGGGCGCAAGTTTTATATGTTTCTAAAAAGTGATGTGTTTGGGCAAACTGCTCAAGAGACAGGCCCCTTATAACTTTGGTATTTGCCTACTAATTATTAATTTTCAATAGCCCTCAAATCCAATATTTTGCCTAATTTTCCACAATTTTATACATACCTCCAATTCTTACTCATTAAAAAAATCATCCAAGAATTCTCAAAAATTTATTAAACCAATTTATTGACCTTATGTACCCATCTTTGGATAGATTTGGAAAATAAAATGGTAGAAATGGACAAAACAAAAATAAAGGTACAAGAATCCCCCCTTTAATTAAGTAAATAGTGAATTTCATACAATCAGAAGCTAGGCACGAAAGCAGGAGTCCAGGAGAGCTTTGTGATCTACAAACAGTTCCGAAGTAAACTATTTAAGACACACGTCACAGGGTTGAGTCTGCTCACTTTGAAATGAGAGTAACCAGTAGATCCGTAGCTAGGGATAACAAGCTATTTCAGTTGCAACCAATTTTTTTTTAGTTTGAATCAAGTTAATAAGAAAGTTTTCATTACAAGCGGGTTTTTCGTTTTCTAAATGACGCCTTTCGTCTTTTTGTTATTATATCATTTGATCCGCTGACTATACATGTACTCACTTTGCTCTGTGTGGCGTCAATTCCCAAAATGAAGATCAGCTGGGCAACAGCAATTGATATAACGAAGTTCAGTCTTATCTGTGTATCTCCCGCTTTGAGATTCCTAAAAACGGGTAAAGAGAGAGAGAAACGACCAGTTTATTCCTTATTCAGATTTTTTGTTGTTGCCTTTTTTGGCGGGCGTGGTGGCGTGCAGTAGATTACCTCCTCCAACCTTGCCTATATATCTGATATATTACCGCATAGAGAACTTTCTTTTCTTGCAAAGCAGTCAGATTTACTTACAGAAAAACTACGTATGCCACAATTGTGATGAATTCTCCCATCAAAGAGAAGGCACAGCCGATATAGGTGATCAGTTCTAGCGCCATACGATGTTCAACGGGTATCTAAAGAAAAAAAGACGTTCTCTTTGAGCCATTAATAAAGCTTCAACTAAATGAAAACTAAACCTTCTACATTTAAGAATTTCTCCATCAAGGCAGTTAATTTAACTTAGCTCACGGGCGTAGCCAGCCCATAGACCTGTAGGCCCTGGCCTATGTAGTAAATTATGCGTTGTGGGGTGAGCTAAAAAGCTTAAGAGCTCAAAGAGTTGGTGTGAGGTCAGTGTGTACAAGTCATGCGCGCAATTTTCAGGATGTGTGGAAATGAAAGTCAGCCAGGCCTACGACCAGTCGAAAAGCTGGCTACGCCCATGCAGTTAGAGAGATAATGCTATTAAAACTGATCACTGAGCTCATCTCTTAAAAATATTGACCTCGTGGTCTTTGAGTTGCATCAACACTGCAAAGTGAGTCAGATGATCACAGCTGCAATACGTTCTTCTGCTGGTGTAGTTCTCAGTTTTGCAGCCTCTCCTTGACCAGGAACCACTGGAGACATTGGAGTAACCCCTGTTGAAAAAAAAAAAGTTAAATAAATTAACAATAGGTTGCAAGCTGTTAGTGAAGATGCAATTGTTTCCTCTTGTTAACTGCCATATTGCCTGGTTAACAGAAAAATATAAAGGAGAAAAAATCTGTGAACATAAAACGAACGTTCTGTGTTCAATTATGTTCTCAGGAGTAAAACTGTAGAGGAAGTCTTCAGGTGAAGTATCTCTTTCGATAAACTTTCAAGGTAAGTAAAAATGGCTTTGTTTGCGCATTTAATAGCGAAGTGATGTGCTTACATAATAGGCTAACCTAAATCCTGCTCGGATAACTAATATTTACGATTTTTCAGGTTGACTATAATGGGGCTGTGTGAATAGGTAATTATGTTCACGTCTTAACTGCAAATGATATTGGTGCTATTATGAGTTGTACAACTCGCATAAATAGTTGTCCTTCAAAACAAACCTAAAGGCAATAGAGAAAATACATTTTTTTGGCATATGGTTCTGCTCTGTTTTTTACTAACTTGGCAAAAAGCAAAAAAAAACTAAACTGATGTAACACTTAAACTTACATCATGGAAAAATTCCAGAAAACGCATTCCGGCTTGCTCGAACGCAACGTCGGCTAAAAAAAAGATTAAATAAAAGATTAACAAGTTGGGCATCCAAATACATTGCAGTCAAAATCTGTTAATACAGACTCTGAGGGGGCATAGAAAGTGTCCATTTTAAAAGGGTTGAATTTGGAGTAAATAAGGGCTTTCTTTATTTTATCCATGGACAAAGCAAACTGTCCGTAACAATGCGGAGGTGTCCGTATTAGGCGGGAGACCATAAAGCGGGGCTTGACTGTATTAAAGAATCCATCAAACTGACGTAACTACGTTGGCCAAGAACCAAAGTGTTTGTTTGCCTTAAAAACACTCCAATTCGCTTCATGTGAATATCAAGAAGGTGGAGCGAGGCCTCAATAAGAAGCAGGAGGGATCGTTCATGTACACGTTTTACGGACACACGCTTTCTTAATACGGACACCTCATTATTGCAAACAGTTTTCTTTGTCCCTGGGGAAAGAAAGTCCTTACATTTTCTCTTAATTCCACCTGTTTAATACGGGCACCCTGTTAATACGGACAATTTCTATGTCCTCCTCAGTGTCCGTATTAACGGCGTTTGACTGTACTAGACAACTGGAGGTATTGCTACATAATTAAAGTTTATATCCAATTAATAAAAATTACCTTTAGATGACCGAAGTCAAATAATGCTCTTCCTTGAAGTGGGTACTTTAACGGTTCCACTGCAATGGCGAAGATACGAGATCCTATATATCCACTTTCAGCTGGAATTCTTTTTTTTTTTAGTGGATCAAATGAAAAATAATAATAATAAAAAGTATAAACTGAACTTACATTCGGAGGTAATTAAAGTTAACTTTTAAAGTTCTGAATGTGTTTCACTGAAATATATCCTAATGAACAGTTTAGACTTATATTAGATTAGTATTACAGTCTGCCGAACCGGGACTAAGGCGAGTCTAAACCTTAAAATTGCGTTATGCTGAAAGGATAGCTTATATTGAATGAGTAAGTTGAAAACTCTCTAGTATGTAGAACATTTTTTAACATGGACCCATGGTCTTACCCATCAAGGAAAGTTTGAGCCTCTGAGGGAAGCAGTTTGTGGAGGTTGCTGTACACAATGGCTGCCATATAGCCACCTAAAGACAAGAAACGACATTGGGCCGGAATTGAATCTTCAAAAAGATTTATTGCTAATCTGCTGTATTTTAACAAGGTGGAAATAAATTGCGCCTCTTTCCATTTAGTTTTTCCAAACTTATACGCTGGAGATCTGACCTACTGCCTTCGGCTCAATTCAAAAAGGGGTGACTTGTTACTTTGTGTTGGTGACTTGAATTTGGAGCGAGACGCTTTTATGAGAACTTAATCAGGTTAAGAACACTGTAATGTATATAAACAGAATTAATTATTTCTTTAGATACCTTTTTCGTGAAACATACTAGCAGGAAGGCGTATGTGAACGTCACTCTCTTGAAGCCGATCACTGTGAGATCTCGAAGAGCCAGAAACAACTAGGTCTTCAGAGTTTGACTGAACCATCTTCATTATTATTACTACAACCAATATCAAGAGGCAGAAAAAGAGGTTACTTTCCAAGGGAAACTCTAGATATTTTGTAGCTGTCTCAAGTACTTCGCACAAGCGTGAATCAATCACCCAGATGAACATAATCACTTGCCTGCGTATTTCACTGCTGAGCTCAGACCTCACAACGACTCTCATCAGTGCATTGTCGAAAATACTTGAGTTCACTCATGTTCA